TACAGGAGAAAAAATAACTCACTATTTATTAAAGCATACTGTAAAGAGTGCTTTCCTATAATAGAGGAAATCATCTGTTATCGACTGTAATATCTGTGAACTCAAAGAATCAAAGAACAAATGATCTGCATGATGATTGTTCTTGCTGTATGGCAGTGATTGTCTCATTTGCTTCTTATGTTTTTCTAAAATTTATTTGGGAATCAAAAACCATAAAACAGAGAAACTGAATTTGGAAGGACGGAGCCACCTGCTACTCAAGCAATTACACACCCATTCAACTCTAGGTGCCGCTTTAATGAGTTAATTTACATTTTCACAACTTTGGTACCAAAAAGATCCACAGGATTTGTTCTTTCATATTTGACTATTTTAATGATATTCACTCATTTGCTTCAACCTTGATGTTTTGTGCTCTCGGCTCTATTAATTTTAAGGAATTTTAGATGAAATATCTGAATTGACATTTAAATGAAATCTAACTCCAATAAAACTGCTGAGCTATAGAAGAGCAGTAAAATGTTCCTCTGGGAAGGTGGATTCTGGGAATGGTGTGCATTCACTGTAGTGTTCAATCAAACGGACACACACACACACACACACACACACACACACAAATGTTTGACACTCTTCCAAATGACGAATGCTTTTCCTTCTCTATATTTAGACTTTTACATACGCTGTCCTGACTGCATTATAACTGGCACAGATAAGCCCGGGTTTCTCTGAGACATACCGCACCACTTATTACTGCCAAGGACGTATGCCGTGTGTGTTTGTGTGACAGTGTGAAAGAAATATCCAGGCCACGCTAGTACACATTACAGATTCTTGGTTTCCTACATTCTCACCGCCATGTATGTATTTCTGTCTGTGCACATGTACATGTTTAAGGTCCCACTTTGAATCTGACAGTGTTTCCCTTTTTGCTTCTATCATCCTTTATGTCGTTCCTTTCTGTGTCCTCTAATCAGCCCGTCTTCATCTCACATTCTCTCAACATCCTTCCTGTCTCTTCTTCAGCGCTCCTCATTTTCCATCTTCTTCGCTGTCACTAGGACGTTATCCGTTCATTCATTCACTCACTCTCCAGAGCTCCTCTCCTTCTCTCTCTCATTCTCTCATTCCTCTATCTGTCTTCCCTCAGGAGTTTCATTTCCATCAGAGTAACTGCCAATAGCTGATCAGTTTCTTCCACCCCCTCACTTTATAGAGTCCCTCGATTCAACCTTTATTTTTTATTTCCTCATCTTTCTCTTTCTTTCTCTCAGGCTGTAGAAAGGCTGTGCATCAGTGTTTACTGCACCACTATTCCGATGTTGTTAACTTGTGAATTGTATGTGTTGAGAAAGAAAGTAGACGGCACAACGTATATAATATGTTGACATTAAACAAGTTAGAAAAATGTTCAATTGATTTCTACTTGCTAATCGGACAGATTGAAAAAAAAAACGAACACCACAAAATGTGAACAAATCACTTGATTAGTGCTATTCTTTGTAATGAATCAGTCAAAGTTGGAGAATCAGTCTGGATCAAGCAGAGGAGTCATTGTTCTGATTCATGGACTGAACCGATCAAGAAAGAGACTGAGCAGCACAAAATATGTAATAGAGCAAGTTTACATAATGTTTAATTGATTTGACCTTGCTAACTGCACAGATAAAAGAAAAAAAACAGCACAAAACTTACACAAATCTCTTAATTAGTGCATCACACACACACACACACACACACACACACACACACAAATGTTTGACACTCTTCCAAATGACGAATGCTTTTCCTTCTCTATATTTAGACTTTTACATACGCTGTCCTGACTGCATTATAACTGGCACAGATAAGCCCGGGTTTCTCTGAGACATACCGCACCACTTATTACTGCCAAGGACGTATGCCGTGTGTGTTTGTGTGACAGTGTGAAAGAAATATCCAGGCCACGCTAGTACACATTACAGATTCTTGGTTTCCTACATTCTCACCGCCATGTATGTATTTCTGTCTGTGCACATGTACATGTTTAAGGTCCCACTTTGAATCTGACAGTGTTTCCCTTTTTGCTTCTATCATCCTTTATGTCGTTCCTTTCTGTGTCCTCTAATCAGCCCGTCTTCATCTCACATTCTCTCAACATCCTTCCTGTCTCTTCTTCAGCGCTCCTCATTTTCCATCTTCTTCGCTGTCACTAGGACGTTATCCGTTCATTCATTCACTCACTCTCCAGAGCTCCTCTCCTTCTCTCTCTCATTCTCTCATTCCTCTATCTGTCTTCCCTCAGGAGTTTCATTTCCATCAGAGTAACTGCCAATAGCTGATCAGTTTCTTCCACCCCCTCACTTTATAGAGTCCCTCGATTCAACCTTTATTTTTTATTTCCTCATCTTTCTCTTTCTTTCTCTCAGGCTGTAGAAAGGCTGTGCATCAGTGTTTACTGCACCACTATTCCGATGTTGTTAACTTGTGAATTGTATGTGTTGAGAAAGAAAGTAGACGGCACAACGTATATAATATGTTGACATTAAACAAGTTAGAAAAATGTTCAATTGATTTCTACTTGCTAATCGGACAGATTGAAAAAAAAAACGAACACCACAAAATGTGAACAAATCACTTGATTAGTGCTATTCTTTGTAATGAATCAGTCAAAGTTGGAGAATCAGTCTGGATCAAGCACAGGAGTCATTGTTCTGATTCATGGACTGAACCGATCAAGAAAGAGACTGAGCAGCACAAAATATGTAATAGAGCAAGTTTACATAATGTTTAATTGATTTGACCTTGCTAACTGCACAGATAAAAGAAAAAAAACAGCACAAAACTTACACAAATCTCTTAATTAGTGCATCTTTCTTTCTGAATCATGGACTGAATCGATTAAGAAAGAGACTGTGCTGTGGCACACAATGTATAATATATTGATTTTAAGCAAGTTAACAATGTTCTATTGGTTTGTCCTCACTAACTGCACAGATATAAGAAATTAACAGCACAAAATGTGAACAAATCACTTTATTAGTGTGATTCTTTGTAATGAATCAATCAGAGTTTGTGAATCAGTCTGAATTAGGCACAGGAGTCATCGCTCTAAACCATGGACCGAAATGATTATGAAAGAGATTGAGCAGCACAAAATATATAATATATTGACATTAAACAAGTTAACACAAAGTTCTATTGATTCGTTCTCACTAATTCACAAATAAAAGAAATGAACAGTATAAAACAACAAAACACTTGATGTGTGTGATTCTTTGTAGTGAATCAGTCAAGTCTATAATTAAGCACAGGAGCCATCATTTTGAATCGTGGACTGAATCGACTGAATTTGAGGTCAGTGTTTAGAACATGATCCAGAGTATTTAAGATAAGTCGCTTTAAGCCGAACATAATGAAGGAGTGGACAGAGGAGGCAGGTCTTTCCACTGATAAGTCCCTGGCAGTTGGTGGAGATGTTTTGATGAGGCGCCGCCGGACTCCCTTGAGGCCAATTCAACAAAATGACACACATAGATGAAAGGCAACACCTCACAACACATCTGGAGAGTGTGTGTTTGTGTGTCTTTACTCAAGCTCACCTTGTAAATGTTCTTGATTCCCTGTGTGGTTCCTCATAAAGAATGTGAGATTCAAAAACACTGCCTGGTAATTGTGCTGGGAATTAGAGAGTCTTGACTCTTTAGCATATTTGCAAGTAAGCTTGTGTGCATGTGCAAGTTTTTTTTATGGTAAATCACTTTACTGTTAAATATGCTTGTTTGTGAGTTGATTTAACATGTGTCTTGTGTGTAGTGGTCCCAAATATTTTTTACCTAATGCAATAACGTTCATACATCTTTAAGTGTGGCTTAAGTGACGGTGGAGGCAATGCATGTTAGAGATGTTGTAAGTGTAAAAGGTTATTCTAGTTCATATTTAACACATCATTCATATTTCTTTTTCAAAAGTAAAACCAAAGCCAGATTTTTCTTCACACCATCCAGAGTCATGGAAAGAACTATAAACAAGGAATTGACTTGCCTGCTAGAACAGAGCACATTCTCCCACAGACAGAGTCTAGTTTTAGATCTGGACACTGCTGGATTAATGAAAGTATGAAATGACATCATCTCTGTTCCTGACATGAAGCTACTGTAGTAAAGCACAGTGTTTCTCACTGACTCAGCAAAGATGATATGCTGCTTGGTTTACACACTTATGAAAATTTACAGTGTTTTTTTTACATAATGTAATTACATTATTATTATTTCTTGTGGTAAGATCATATTATCTGCAGCTAAACCTATAAATGGCTTCTCTTCAAACTATTATATTTGTTTGCCAAAAATAGTAACTTAAAAACAATTTATATTCCTTACCTCACTAATAGATGATTTACAACAGTCATTTCTGCAATACCATAGATAGTATTATTGTTGTATACCATGTTACATTTCATGGGCGTTGCTAAAATTTATACTATAATAATTTTGTTGTTAAAACATTTGAATTGAACAAACAAACAAACAAAAAACATTTTGAATAGTGGTCTCAAATGTTTGGACCCCACAGTATCAATAAACAGAAATGTTCATGTTTGCCACAAGGAAAAATACTCAATAATTAAACCTCAATTTCTGTTTTAATATCAAAGTAGTGCTTAATATGCAGTGGGGGTTTTATTTCTCGTGTCAGAATGTCACAATCATTAACCACATCCTTTAGCTGCAGGCAACTCACAAATCAATACCAGAAGACACAGATCAGTGGGTTCCTTAAGGCTCTACACAGCCCAGCGGAGCTCGTATCTACAGATAAATTTTGCTTCCATTATTTAGGATGCATCCAGTTGAGAATTTTAATGAAAATTAATGAAATTGTTCATTTTTTGGTTTCATAAAAAAGTCATGCAGAGATGATCAGAAAATTGGATTGTAATGATGTACCACAATCACACACCTTTGGCAAGATTTGTTGATTTCTGAACACTCTGTGTGTGTGTGTGTGTGTGTGTGTTGCAGCTGGCTCAGGATGAGGGAAGTCCGGTGCGGGGTTTCGCTGTCGTGGAGTATGAGACGGCGGAGCAGGCTGAAGCCATGCTGCTGGAGATGGATAGACAGCTGATCCAGGGTCAGGAGATACGTCTGTCTCTTTGTCCACCAGGAACCTCTGGACGCAGCACTCTCGCCGCCCTCATCGCTGCTCAGGGTGTGGTGAGTGATGTACACACTCATGGGGGACAAGTGACTTTCTCTTTATTTCCACATAGCAAGCAACAAGAGTGTTTCTCACATATTCATCCAGAAGCATTAACGCACACACGTGCATGTGTGAAACAGCAGTGGTGACAGTTTAATTACAGTATTCATACAAACCCTGCTGTTTCAAACATCTCCAGATCTCCGCTGCATTTCCGAGGCCTGAAATAAAGTACAGGGCTATTTTCATCATGCTGGACAGATCCACGTAAACCAGCAGCTTGTCCTGAAGGAACTGTCAGTGGTGTTGAGCATTAACTGATATTCTCCAAAACACATGTTCTCTTTGATGTTTTGTTAGAACATAGTTTTTTTTTATTGTGTTCATTTCTTTTCAAATTTAGGACTTAATTCTGCAGACAGATACAGTATATTGATGGCAGAGCAGGATGTTACATCTGAACATTTTTCAACTTTCAGCTTTTTGCTTGTGGTGGACAATAAATGATCTGACTACCATTTTTTAGAGATGAAAAGGTGGAATGTTTATAGACCAAATGAAATAGTTTTATGTAGGGATGCACCGAAATGAAAATTCTTGGCCGAAGCCGAAACCGAGCAAAATGAAACACTGGGCCGAAGGCCGAATACCGAATATGGGAACTCGAGTTGTTTTTCCCCATGTATTTTGCCAGTTGTTTTTCACCATTGCATATATTAAATAGCGAAAATGTGCTTTTTACTGTTTTGTCTTGCTTTTCAAAGAAAAAAATCTATTACAAAACAACAATTTAAAAATATTTAACACCGAACATTTTTAACATTCTAGCAGACACTATACCAACAAAGCACAATTTAACTTAAAATTAAGGAAGACCTCAATGCTTCTTTTTGTTGACAGCAGATTTATAAATGAGTCTCATTACGAATACGTTGTACGTATCGCATTGTCACATGCCTTGTAAAAATTCATAAAAATGTGATTGAGCAACTGACGAGTAACACTGGTTCAGCGCAGATTTTCCTCGCACTTTGAACTTTGAACCCTGGTTAACAAGCAGATAGCGCCGCAATTTTGTGCAGCGCTGTCAGAATACATGCAATTCGAGCGTGAAAACATAACGTTCTTCAGTTTATTTACTAATTGTTTAAGGCCATTTCGTGATTTCGATCATCATACAGTAACCAGCAACAATTACCCCGTCCTCTTCTCATCGAAAACATGCGCTGCAGTACTAAACAGTCTCTCGCTGTCAGTGCTTGTAATGATTTTTGCGTTTTTCTCTGACAGTTTTAAATGTGTGCTGCATTATAAAGAGTGCGCTCCCCTCACTCTGCGCTGGTTGCTATTTGATCGCGTCATATCATTGTTCGGTACAATTTATTCCGTCTTTTCGCTTATTCGCTTACAATTGCGGTTGCCGAACATTCGGTGCATCCCTAGTTTTATGAACAATTTTCATTCTAGTGTTGGTATTTGTCCTATTGAAACAGGAAAATAGAGCAGGACATAGCAAAGAGCTTATCTATATATTTTTTATATATAATATAATAATAATAATAGCCAATAATTCAAATGTGCATGCTTATTGGTAGTGTTTGTCAACTTTTAGGAGCACAAGAGCATATAAAAGACCTCAAAGCTAAAGACCTGAACCAAAAGTCACAAAATTGCTATTTTGATTTCATGGGGTCTTTTATGCAAGGCTTTATGTCTCCGCTCCTCTCTGCTCTCTCTTGCCTCTCCACTCTCTCTTTCTTACTTCCCCTTTTTCCGGCAAAAAAATATCAAGCCAAATAGAGCAAATGCAAGCTGACATTTCTCAGGAAGTCCACCCCTCCGAGCCACAGGCATCTCTGTGCTCTGTCTGTATCAGAGACACACCTACCCACTCATCCACAGACTGTGAGGGCACAAGCTTTCCCCTCAGTCTGATGGGCCGTTGCGCTTGCGTGAGAGTGTAGTCAGATCATTTTAGCACTGCTTGGGGACTAGCAGGTGTCTGCGCTTGTCTTCCTCACTGGTTAGTACTGTGGAAACTCATACACAAAACGTCATGATACGTGCCTACTGGTTATATTAGTCATTTTCAATGCCATGCTTCAGTTATTGCCACATGAACGGGAATACAAATAGAGCTTTTTAAAGTTAGGGAACTTTAAAAAAAAATCACCCCTATAAAATTGGAAACTTAAGTTCAGTTGCTGCCTTATGATGTGCAAGTAAAATCAAAGTGGTGCCAAGGTAACAGTGATTGATTGAACAATAGGAATTTATTTAATAACCAAGTGAAAACAAAAAAAAACCAAATAGAAATGAAAGTCAAATTAAACAAAGGTGTTATAATGTAATTAGGAAAACATTTTTACAGTGTAGATGAGCTTTGTTTTTTCAATATATTGTAATGGTGGTACCCTTTTTTTTGTGTTTTACTCTTATTTATTTATTTTTTCTAACTCACCCCCCCTTTTTTTTGAAAAGTTCTTTAAGTTGGGCGCCAGACAAGGATAAAACCCTGTCAATAAAATAATTTTTGCTCCAGATAGCTCAGAATTTAAAAAAACACCAGTTACAAAAGATGTAGTCAGGAAGAAATTAATCATATCAAAACCAAGAATCCAAAAAAGGTAAATTTAAAGGGGTCATATGATGCTATTTAAATTTTTCCTTTCTCTTTGGAGTGTTACAAGCTCTTGGTGCATAAAGAAGATCTGTAAAGTTGCAAAGACTAAAGTCTCAAATCCAAAGAGATATTCTTTATAAAAGTTAAGAGTCAGCCACACCTACCTAAAACGGCTTGTTCTAACACGCCCCCACATATCTACATCACTATGTGGAAATATTAGCATAATGCCGCCCAAATATGCACGCAAAGAAAGAAGGCGTGGTTTCAGAAACAGCAGTAGTGTTGATGCAGCCACTTACATATAATTAGCTGAAGTATGGTAATGCATATTTGGCGTGCTGTCCGGGGAAGGGCTCCGAGCTCGGGAATGGCCCGAACCTAGAGTACCCCCCAAAAAGCAATTGAGCAAAGGACAGCCGCCAGACTGAAGAACCCCCCCCCAAAATAAGCACTGAGAACTGGCGGCGGCTGATGTTTTGAGAAGTCGCCTGGTTGGCAAGCCGGAAGAGCCTACGTACTCCGGGGTGAGCAATTATGCGTTGGAAGGGTAGGTCCTACCGGCTGTTGGTATTGGACTACGTGGTTTGGGGCGCCCGGTCGGGAGGGCTCGAGCCGATGCTCAACGGGTGCTCACAGCGTTGGAACGGGTGAGCCCTACCGGCTGATGGGGGAGGAGCAGCGTGATTGTATAGCCCTACCAGGAGGGCCCGAATTGCCTCGACTGGAATAGCTTGCGG